GCATTCGTTACACACACACACACACACACACACACACATCCTGCCTTTTATAGATAGAGATAATAATAATAATAATCCAACAGACTTGATATCATAAAAGACAAGAAATTCAGACAATATTCGAATACAAGAATCTGGAAATCGAGATTAACAAGATGTGGGGAATGAAGACCGAGACTTTACCAATAGAAATTAGAGCTCTGGGCCTCGTCAGAAAAGGGATGGACAATTTTGCTAATAGTGTACCAAGTAACATGAACATACACGAAAGATCTCCCTACTAGAAACATCCCATATACTAAAAAAATGCTTTCAAATAAATAACAATTCTCCAATAGGGCCTAAGGACCATAGTTTGGACCCGGGTCTACAGAATACAAAGCAAGAAACATAACATACACAAATGACAATAATAATGCCAATGTGGAAAAGCATTTGTCTATGAAGTACCTGCCATATTGTCATCAGATATAGTGTTTTGATGGCTATATTGGAGGTCATATATTAACATGTATCCCCAGCGTCACTTATGACTGTGCTGTATTGTCACTCAAGAATAATTATGTTGTTTGACTAAGTAATAGTATTATGAAGTCGAACTTGATAGAAGTGATCGCCTGAGGTAAAATTGGTAGAAGTCATAACAGGATTTATTATTGGTGAATAACATAAGATATGCAGATGACACAGTATTGGTAGCTGACACAGAAATAAAAGTGCAGGGGAGCATAGAGAAAGTAGTAAAAGAAAATGAGAAGAAAGGACTAAACAAAAATTGTAATAAAACACAATGTGGGGTTGACAACAAGATGAATATCCCAAGATGCAAGCTACCTATTGGAGATACTAAACTCAAACAAACACTGAAATTTAAATATGTAGAAGACGCTTTAACTGAGGACGAAAATGTGACACCGGAATCTAAAGAAGCATTAGGATAACGACAGATGCTCTCCAAATGCTAAGCAAAGTATTAAGAAACAGGAAAATATTAGGAACAAACGAGAGATTATTGAACTGTTATATAATAACGTTCCTCCTCTATGACAGTGAATGCTGGACAATCTTCTCACAGATGAAGAAGAGACTTGAGGCAACAGAAATATGGTCCTACAGAAGGATGCTGAGAATGGACTGAACGTGTGAGTAACGAGGAACTTTTAGGGAAAATGGAAACAAAAAGGAAGAGACTGTTGAAATTTCGAGGTTACATATGGAGGGAAAAGGATTTGAACAATTTGACATCAACGAGACATACTGATGAGCAGAGGGAAACAGCGAGTATATTATTTAATAAGTTTGTGTGAATGGATGGCGGGGATAGCAAAAAGCGAATATTACTAAGATCTGAATGGATTGGACGCTGTGGAGAGCTATGATCACCCACTTTCTGAAGGAACGTTACACACAGAAGTCAGTCACTGGATATAATCAACGTCTTTATCTACTGAGCCATTTGTCCTTGAGGACATCTGTGTATGAATTTTGGGGACTTATAAACCTAATGTTTCAGCAACCATCAGGCGAATACCATACTTGGATATCATTGCTCGAATCGAGGAAATAGACTTGAACATCCCTCAGGCTCAGGCGGAGGAACTAAGATGGAAACTGAGACAGACACTGGATAAAGCTAAGTCACCCAAATCAAACATCGCGGAACTGGAGAGGCTGGTAATCAGAATTCTACAGAGGGATGAAAGCATCATCATACTAGCAGCTGACAAAAGCAATGCAACTGTAGTGATGAATAAATCGGAATGTACAAAAAAAACTTGAAGACATCATTGGAAATGGTGGCTACAGTAAAGAAAGATCCTACAAGGAAAACAGAACACAAAATCTCGCAGATCCTAATCAAGAACAAGGACCACTTTGAACCTAAGATATACAGGCAGTTGTCACAGCGTTACACCAAGACACCTCACATATACGGTCTCCCAAATATTCACAATATCAATATCAATATCAGGCCGATCGTTGGCTGCCAAGGCTCTGAGTGGCTTGCTAGTAGATATAATCGACCTATTAATCCGAAAGTCAACATCATATGTTGTGAAGTCCGTTCACTTCGTAGAAATAATCAAAGATGCTCCCAACCAATCCAACTAGGGGATGACCTTGAAAGTGGCGAGTTTCTTCACCAAGGTACCCACAGAGGAGGCACCCTCGGTAGTCAGGGACAGACTGGCCTCGGACTTCTCCCTAGAAGAAGGGACCAGTATTCCAGTAGATAACCTGATGGAGATGCTGACATTCTGTAAGCAACCAACATATTTCGGAATGAGATCAGACATATATCGACAGCAATGGGCCGCCATTATCACCAGTAATAGGAAACCTATATATGGAATACTTTGAGGAAATGGCATTAAAATTTACATCACTAAAACCAACCCTACGGCTGAGATACGTAGATGACACCTTCATACTCTGGCTACACCAGGGAGACGTCCAGCTATTACTAGACCTTGTGAACTCGATAAGATCATTGATACAGTTCACAATGAAGAGAGAAAACGACAACAAACCCGCATTTCTGGATGTATTAATATCTTGAACAAACCAGGGATTCAAGATACCGTATAAGCAAGCCAACATTAATCGGACAATACCTCAACTTCAAATCTCGCCTTCCATACAGTAAAAAAGGGAATAATCCGCTGCTTACAACATCGAGCAAAAGTTACGTGGCGACTCAGAAATATACGAAAAAGAAATAGTCAGTATAAACAGTACCCTACAACGTAACAGCTACCCTTGGTACATGGCAGCAGCTCCAACAAACTTGGATAGAAGGGTACAAGAGGCTAACAGGACTCAGAAAACAGCTTCAGTCTGCCTACCCTATGTAAAGGGATTATCGGAGAAAATACAAAGGATTTGTGGTCCATATAACATCAGGACTACCTTCAAAAGTGGTACAACACTTCGCAGACACCTCTTCCGAGTATAACCCCCCCATAGAGGAGAATATGACTAAGGACTGTGTGTACGCCATCCCTTGCAGCTGTGGTAAGAAATACAAAGGGGAAAAAGGTCGCCTCTTCATGTAAGACTACAATATCGTAAAGCGGTAACGCGAGGGGAAATAGAAAAATCAGGCGTAGCTGACCACATATGGATGAAAAAGGGAGATCACCGCCCTCATTCCGTGGGATGAGGTTGAAATAATAGAAAGAGAGCATCACTGGAAAATACGAAAACTTAAGGAATCAGCACATATTCTCGGCCACAAAAATCTCTTGAACCGACCAAGCAGAGAAATGAATGCAATATAGGAACCACTAATGAGGAGTGCTAGAGAAAAGCAATGAATAACAACAAAAATTCCAATATAAGCTCTGGTAAAAAAAAATGCAAGAAAAATAACAGAAAAAATTGCAATATGAGCACAGGTAAGAATATGTAGCTGAGACATTGGGTTTATATATCCCCAAAATTCATACACATATATCCTCCAGGACACATGGTCCAGTGGATAAAGCCGTTGTTTCGATCCAGTGACTATATGTGAGTACCAATACCAGCGCAAATCTATAGTGGTGAACCAAAACTTGGAAAGTTGAGTTAAAGGGAAATAACTGAGACCTAAGAGGCATGGCATGTGGAACTAGAAAATTCTAACCCGGTGGACGAAATAAAGGGTTCGTTTCGAAATTCCAATCAAGAAATTCCACTGAAGAATGCTGGAGCATACAACGGCCGAAATGTTATGAATATGTCAATGAAGATGAGGATAACAGTCTGAATAATGTAAATAATGCAAGTAATCATAATACCTCATCTCAGAGATATAGACAGGTAGTAATTTCATATTGTAAATTATCAGTAGAGTGTTCGATCCTCACCGGATATCCCTGTTCATATGTCAAAACTAATCTATGCTTAGTAAATATGCTTGGGAAACATGGAAAGAGGTAATGGTTAACGAGATGGTGGGGGGTACTAGTAAAGGGGAGTTTGATTCTTACTGGCTGACCGATATTTATTAACAACACTTAAAAAAGAGAATTCATTCCTAAATCAGAGCTACATCTAAACAAAAGTTATGTTCTGTGTTTGGTGGGATAAGAAGGTGGGTGTTAGTAGTGAAGGGCTAAACGAAAACAAACAACGCGAAGAATTATTGTCGTAAAGAAGGGAATAAAAAAAGATGTACGTCAGAGTAGGGAAAGATATACACTGAGAGAAAGACCCTCCATTGGTTGATCGTAAAGGCGTGTTGCTCATACACGATAATGCATTGCGTTATTATTAATATCATACAGCTCATTGGTCATAACTATTTTAAAATAAACTCTCTTCCTTGAGAGGCTCTCGAGCATTATATTGGGAAAACTCTAGTAATAAATACAAGCAGCATATTGCTCTAGACACTCGGGAAGCAATTATGGCACTAAATACGGAAACTTTGCATCCTCCTCCTTACTCTTCTGACCTGGCTATCGTCTTTTAAGACCTCTGAAACATTGTGTTCATTAATTGGGAAGAGGTTGAAATTGCTATTGAGTGTTTCTTTGCGTGGAAATCTGATGTACTGTACGCCGGGGGGGATCAACAATTTGCCAAATGATTGGTAATATGTTATTGATAATGAACGGAATAATTACCTTGATTAAATAAATTAATCAAGGCAAAATTTCTTCGATTAAACATTTCAATTAAGATAATTTTTGTCCATCTTCAAATGCGACAGGACTTTCTTTCCATCCTGATAGAAAGATTGGTTGATTGTTTTGCTCTTACGACTTATCAAGCATTTGCTGGTTATTTAAAGCCAGAAAATATTTTTAGATTGTAATGATCTTTTCGGGATAATAATGATTTACTTATACAAGTCCTACTAAATCACCTTTATGTAGGGTGGGAGTGGAAATGGATTGATACCTTTCCCAATGATATTTGCGCACGGGTATAAATAACCCGACTTGAATTGAAACTTGGATTTCAAATTTCTAATTCCAAGCCGTTATCCATTCCACCCGTACATTCAAATTTACATCGCCTGGTATTCCCAAGTGGTCACCCATCTAGGTACTGACTCGGCTCGAAGCTGCTTAACTTCGTTGATTATATGAGAACACATGTTTCAATGTGATATGGGCTTAAGCATGCATGCATGCATAGATAGATAGATAGATAGATTCATTCATTCATTCATTCATTCATTCATTCATTCATTCATTCATTCATTCATTTTGTATCTGATATTTAATGACTAAGAGTAATTTATTTAGCGCACACCGAAGTCAGTTTTGTGATGATGAATTTCAATCAAGTTGGTCAAAAAGCAAAAGCGTTACGATTGCTATGACAATACTGGCAGCTCCAGAACATATCTAAAAATAACTTTATTTTTCTCACATTTCTCCTGTAAAAGAGAGGGTTAATATTTTCAGAAGGATTTATGCTTATTCAAGCAGAAATTGAATGATACAAAAAAACCCTTAATTTTTGCTATTCTTTGCGGCAATCTATTCATGCTTTTCCATTTCCAGGCTCCCCAGGTTACTTCACCGCCAAAAATAAGTTCTATTAACACTTAATTCTGCTTATGTCGTCTTTCCACATATAGAATTTAGAGGCTTTGAATAGACTCCATGTCAGCGTACTGAAATTCTTACCCAAGAGCTGTCAAATTCACTGAATGGAGTTATTCGGTTGGAAAAAACGGTCGGCAAGCCACACTTCAATCCAGAAAACGTGTTTCAACAAGATTCTGCATGAAGAAAGAGTAACCATCGGATCTTTTTTTGTAGATACTTGTATATTATTTCTATATTAACTTATATTGTATTGTATATGATTATCTTCTATACATGATGGATTATTGCATATTGTATATATTATTGTATTAGGTTGAGTCATAAGTTTTGTTTATCAATTTTATTTTTCCAAATATAAAATGCAATTACATTTTAGTCACTTAAATATTCGCCATTATTTGCAATGACTTGTTGCCACCTACCAGGCAGATTTACAATGCCTTTTAAGTAAAATTTATCAGGTTTTGATGTGATAAAGGGACGGACTGGTTTTCATTAGAGAACGTTTTCCCTGCCAAAGCGTTTTGCAGCGAACCGAAAAAGGTAATATTTTGGTACAAAGTTATATGTATATAGCTGGTAGAATAGAACAGACCTGTTTTATTCTTGCTGTAGACGGCCTTGCGTCGTAATGGTGAACAACATTTTCCCTTTCATCCACTGTGTACGCTGCCACTACCGTACAAAATAAAGGTATTTTAGAGTACTCCAAATTTTCTTAACTGCCATGGATGATACGCAGTTGTTTTCTGTTTTTGTTTTTAATCGGTGTCACCCCATGCAAGGCAATAAAGCCACTAAGACACAAGAGTTTTCAGGATGTGAAAGAATTAAGAACAGAAACATTAATAATGAGTGGGAAGTAAAAAGAGTAATCAGGAGGATAGTAGATAGCTATTGATGTTACATTTAAATTTTTGCAGATTAAAGTTGGCTGGAAAGGATGGAGCTAGAAATGGAGTTCCACAAGCGAGAAGTGCGAGAAAAGAAACTGTTAGCATAGAATTTACGATTACGTCTAGCTAACTCAATTGTAAATTGATGAGATATTAACGCCAGTCTAGTACTGCGCTTAAATTTAAAAAGTCTTGGTACCATAGCGAAGAGCTCAGCCAAACAATTGGGAAAGTGACTGAAGCCGAGGTGCTAGATAAGGACACGTAATATTGCTGATACTTCTTTACATTATATCAACGAGCTCAGGGAAAATAGCAGGGCCACAGGACCATATGTGGCAGCAATATTTTTAGCATGGGCGAATGGTAGACTTATAGATATGTGACATGACAATTGGTTTACAAAAAAGGAAATTAAGAATATATTGTCGATCGATGCTCTTCAAACTATCTGATGTGGTGTACCGACAGTTTTTTTTTTTTTTTTTTTACAATGTGCAAGGGACCGCCGTGCGAAGCTTTCCAATCCTGCTGGGGATTCGAAGATAGTGAAGAGAATGAGATAGATAGATAGATAGATAGATAGATAGATAGATAGATAGATAGATAGATAGATAGATAGATATGAACAGACTGAGATAGATAGATAGATAGATAGATAGATAGATAGATAGATAGATAGATATGAAGAGATAGATAGATAGATAGATAGATAGATAGAGATAGATAGATAGATATGAACAGAATGAGAGATAGATAGATAGATAGATAGATAGATAGATAGATAGATAGATATGAACAGACTGAGATAGATAGATAGATAGATAGATAGATAGAGATAGATAGATATGAACAGACTGAGATAGATAGATAGATAGATAGATAGATAGATAGATAGATAGATAGATGAACAGACTGAGATAGATAGATAGATAGATAGATAGATAGATAGATAGATAGATAGATAGATATGAACAGACTGAGATAGATAGATAGATAGATAGATAGATAGATAGATGGATAGATAGATAGATAGATAGATATGAAAAGACTGAGATAGATAGATAGATAGATAGATAGATAGATAGATAGATAGATAGATAGATAGATAGATATGAAAAGGATAGATAGATAGATAGATAGATAGATAGATAGATAGATGGATAGATAGATAGATAGATAGATAGATAGATAGATAGATATGAACAGACTGAGATAGATAGATAGATAGATAGATAGATAGATAGATAGATAGATAGATAGATAGATATGAACAGACTGAGATAGATAGATAGATAGATAGATAGATAGATAGATAGATAGATAGATAGATATGAACAGACTGAGATAGATAGATAGATAGATAGATAGATAGATAGATAGATAGATAGATAGATAGATAGATAGATATGAACAGACTGAAATAGATAGATAGATAGATATGAACAGACTGAAATAGATAGATAGATAGATAGATAGATAGATAGATAGATAGATAGATAGATAGATAGATAGATAGATAGATATGAACAGACTGAAATAGATAGATAGATAGATAGATATATAGATAGATAGATAGATTTTTTTTCATTTTCTTTCAGTCTCAGTAACCTTTTGCGTTTAAGGGGCTTTATCGCTTTGCTTTGGGTGTAAAAATAAACAGATACGTAAAAGATATAGACAAACCAGAAAGCTAACTGATAAACTACGTGTTTTTTGGGGGTTTTTTTGGGGGGGGTTGTTTTTTTTCTTGAATTATCTGATTAACTAGATGGATGAAAATCCTGAGGAGATAAAATTATAAAAGCCATATTTTATCGCGCCTGACATATTTTTTTAGCTCTGTGTTACTTCAAATTATCAGATGTACTCCGACTGTGCATTATCTTTCCTTTCTGTAGTGTAAAGATATTAAGATACTTCTTATTTACAACGACATAATAACCGTTGTGCAAAAGTACCAACGTTGATTTCGTTTGTACATTTGTATGGAAGAACAGATGTGCAGTCATTGTGTGAGAACAGCGTTATTTATAAGAGATAGCTACTGCAGATCAAATTAGCTCACAAATATGCACTGATTCCTTTCGACGATCCAGGAGGCTCTTTATATTACCAAGAATACCTGGCCCAAATAATTCAAATGTCTCACCCAGCAGAGAAGGTTCTGATGGAATATCCATCAGTCAATCCCAATCTGCATACAAACAGTTGTTCAGTATCAATTGACCTGTTACATATCATCCGAAAGAAAATGTTTTATGAATCAATTCTTCTCGAATACCCGCCGTCCAGAAAATGGAACAGTGGAAATGTGTCAATAAGTAGATTTTAACCTGTAAAGACAAGGATAAGATAACACACACACACACACACACACACACACACACACACATATATATATAGATATATATATATATGAAGAAAAATACAGAAAAAACAAACAAAAATCTTAATATGCAATTATGCTGTATTAATGTTAATATAAAGTCGACGTCGGACGTTTCGGTCTATTTAAGACCATCTTCATGGACATTTTCATTTAAACATAATTAACATTAGAACATATAAAAATTTAACACAAAAGACGATGGACATAAGAGCACAACTAATCCAAACAGATAACTGAAATTTTTATATAAGATCAGCTTTCCGTTTAAATATGATCACGTCGTCGTCACGTGGGCGATGTTGTGAAAACGTATTCGAAGATGATTTCCAAATATTAAAATATTAAAAAAGTCGATTGAACTATTTTATATAAACAAGAAATCCCTTCTGTTGATATAGGAATACGTAGAGATCAATAGGTTCTTATATCTTCATACAAGCTTGAAGTCCTTCACGTTACGTTATATATATATAGGAGGCACGATGGAGTAATGGATAGTGGCTTGGATTGAGGAATCGGAGAGCCGAGTTTGAATTCCAGTCGAATTCATTACATTCACTTACGTGCTAATACCCTTGGGAAAGGTGTGATTCCTCTTCTCCTCCCTCTAGCTATGGGTAAAGAGCAGGACAGACTGGGTTCTATAGCTTTGGATGGCAACTGGTCTAGAAGAAGGACAACTCTGAATTCAAAACCTGCGGAGGGTTGTTTGGGGACCTTGTGGCACGTAAGGCATCAGGTCTCTGTATTCGACCCTTCAAAAAGTGTGGATCGTCCAGCACGAATCCTTCACCACTATAATCAAATCTCATGTGCTGTTGTCGGGCTGTCGGTTTCCTAGAAACTGATCTGCTTGACCCTCATACGTCGAATTCGACGGGAGAGTCGTGTACCTTTGAGAACATCGTAATTGATCGTAATGAATGGAAGACTACAAGCTACAATGGCATCAAGAACAAGGCAGCATCAAACATTGTCAAGTTTCGTCAAACTAGGGAAAGGAATAAATTATCTGCTGCTGTTCCAGCCATATACGCCAAGAATCCAGACTCTTGCACAATCTGTGGACTTCTTTGCAAATCGCTAGCAAGACTGAAATGTCACTTGCGACTCACACACAAGGTTAAATAAACAAAGTTGTCGGAACCTCATACGTCGAAACCCACAGGAGAGTCCATCATATATATATATATATATATATATATATATATATATATATACATACACACATATATATATATATATATATATATATATATATATATATATAT